TGCCACCAGGGTTTCCACCTTATACATACTGCTGTTCAAATGAGTATTTTGTTTTTAAATTACAAAACGGAAGAGAGGAATCAATTTCAATACTCCCTGCTCACGGCACCATTGGATGTTCCAGTGTTTCTAGGCTCTATCCACATACTCACGGGAAGAGGCCAACAAATAATCTGCCCCTGGCATGGGGCAGAAAACACGCTTGCATTGTTGGTATGGGTGCTTTGTTCTGTTGGCCACATTCTGTGTATGTGTAGGGGGCAATTTCTCCCACTGAAGTATGCCCAGTATTTACTTTCCCCTGGGCCAACGTCATCTCCAGCTTACTTAACTTTTGTCAAAAAGGCCAAACATAGAGAAGATTGTCTCAGCACATACAGTGCTTCCTAACACAAACTGTGATTTTCAAAATGTCACACTGAAAAACCCATTACGCGTTAAGACAATGGAATGTTCTAGTGAATTTTCACCACCTCACTGTAATCGACTATAGTATAATATGTCTCAGGAATAAGGTGTTCTGGGCCCTAATTAGATTGGATATGGATTATGGAGACAAAAACCATCTCACGCATTCTGCGCCCATCTGGGCGTTCGCGCTGAGCGACCATGTTAAAGGAGAGACCACGTAATAACGTCGCTTCGGTTTCTCGAGTTAGGAAAGTGGCCATTTCTGTGGACAGAAAGGAACTCCATGTGTAACACTGTAATCACCTCATCTGATGAGAGGCAAAGAGGGAGGGAGAAAAGGAGAGGAATTAAGAGTGAGCAAAAAGCTCCAGAGCAGACTCAGCCTCAGTTTCCTGGAGTCTCCGCAGAATAAGGGGAGAATTTAGCCAAAAACAAAAAAACCAAAACCAAACCCATTGCCTTTGAGTCGATTCTGACCATAGTAACACTACAGAACAGAGTAGAACTGCCCCATAGGGTTTCCAAGGAGTGGCTGGTGGATTTGAACTGCCGACCTTTCGGTTAGCAGCCGAGCTCTTAACCACTGTGCCACCAGGGATCTTAGCCAAAAATATAGTTACAAAAATTACAATTAGTTAAATGAAAATAAATTAAGAATAATAAATTAAACATAACAAATAAAAAGACAACTACAAAAATGATAATTAAGTGGGTTAAAAATTAGCACTAGTAATAATGTTAAAATAAAAATAACTCTCACTTTCTTGGGGAAATTTTCTTTCTTTTTGATTAGCCTCACTTGGGGTCAGACCATTCGGAAACTAAAACCATACAAGCCTATCTTATTTCTTATTGCCCTGCCCCCCTCTATTTCCACATCTGAATGCAGGCCTCTCAGCCTACGTTGGGGTGTCTTTGTGAAACGCTTGTCTCCACTAACCGAATAATTTCCCCTCAACTGACCTTGTCACTCGAATCTACAAAGAAATTATAGAAATAAATTCGATTCTTTTGCATCTTAACTATTTCCCCAGGCATTGCTGCTCTCATTAAACTGCCTACGTCTTGAATGTGACGTTGAAACTCACAAGTCCACACTTCTTTCCTGGAGTTTTCGGTTTTGTAACCAGCAATATTTGTAGCTCCTCACCTGATAACTCTGCCTTAAATTGGGGCGGGGGGGCCCAGAGAGTCGGTGGGGACCATCCTTCTGAGTAGCTGTGAGTTGGTGTGTGTATGTGGAGGAAGTAGGTAGGTATCCAGACTCCACCTTACCTGCCCAGGAAGGCTGGACACACACTTTGGCATCCCCAAAGAAGGGCTGTTCAGAGCACTTAAAGAGCAATGAGAGCCTTTGCCCTTCATGGCATTACAGCAAGAGGTTCCTCAGGAACACAAGTGGGAGATTACAGACGACAATATCTCCAACAGACAGATAAGCCACTGCCAAACATTCAAAACAGGACCACAGGAAAGTGAAGTCATTCTGAACAGCTATCTTTTTCCTCCAGGTTAGAGCCAGTTTTGTAAAACAGGATGATAGGCAACCCAGAAAAATTGTTCTCTGTTCATCCATTGCGGCCCAAGAAAGCAGACAAGCCTCTACCTCTCCACTCCTTTCTCCGGAGTGTTGGGTCCCCCTAACGTACAGGAGAGTACTTCTCTTTGCTCCCAGGTGAGGCTGGTCATTGGAAATAGGGCCCGTTGAACAGACGGGCCCATGCGAAGAGATCAAGCAAACCTTGCACATCGCTTGAAGACCTTCCAACAGCTTTCCATCTTGGAAATGTGGCACCAGCCCTGCCATCACTGCCAGTGGGATACCAGTATTGGTACTGTCTCAGCTGTGGGCTGCATTCTCATTAACATTCAGATTTGTCAACACCCTGACCTGCTAGATGTGAAGACTATGAAGATCTTGGCACCATCCCCAAAGGAATGAGGGACCCAGTTCCAGGATTAAGTCAGCTCATGGTCCCAAGCCTGTCTTCCTATCTCCTCATGGAGAGATGTGAAGATTCAAGAGATAATGTCAATAACGCTTGAAAATCTGCCCAGAAAGAAAATACCTACTAATTCGATTTATTTTAAATAGTACTAGATGCTCCTTTCTCTTTTCTGTGTTCCCTTAAGCTAGTTAGTTTTATTTCCTTGATTTTTCTCCCAAAAGTCCTAGAAATAAGAACTTTTTGTCTTTTTCACTTCAATTTTTGTTTTTTAAGGGCCAGAACCACTGAGATTCCCATCTGGTTTGAGCTGTATATAACCCAGTGATTTTTATCATAACAAACTGGGCCAAAAAACTCTGATCTCAACCCAGATGCTAAATAAAACCCTACCTGAGTCATGTTGTCATGGTTACTGGGATTTCGACAAGCCCTAAGAAAGTTTTAGTTACTTCTCCCAGGCTCAGGTGGTGTTCCTGGGACTGCGCCAGGCCAGCTCCTACAGGGTGTGGGCGATGTCGCCACAGTCAAGAGCATGGGGTAGTTTCTGCCCACATAACTAAGTTCTGCCCTGGAGCCTGCTGTTTATCTCATTTACCCTTTCAACAGCAGGGTGTTTACAAAAGTGTCGTCACCAGCATCTCTTTTTAGAGAATAACCTGTCGGCTCAGTCACAGCAAGTGGCTTGCTCAAGATCACTCAGTCTATAAGTGAGACAGATGGAGCCCAAACTTGGTTTTCTGACACCAAAGCCTGCGCACTTTTCGATGCAAATGGTTAACTAACGTGCTCAGCTGCTCACCAAAAGGTTGGAGGCTCAAGTCCACCCAGAGGCACCTCGGAAGAAAGGCCTGGTGATCTACTTCTGAAAAAGCAGCCACTGCAAACTCCTATGGAGCACAGCTCTACTCTGACACACGTGGGGTGGTCACGAGTCAGATTCGACTCCACGGCAGCTGGTCTACTGGTTATGCAGGACCGAGGCAGACAAACACAACGCCCTGCTCGAGTTCCTCGGCCCGCTGCTGCGTGCTGTGTGTTTAGGAGCCCAGACTGTGAAGGCTTGGGCAGGTTACTTCAGCTCTCGCTATCTCTGGTTTTTCATCTGTAAAATAGGGACAGCAATTCCTACCTCCTAGGTCTGTTTTGAGGGTAACAGGAGTTAACATATCTAATGCTCTCAGATCACCGTCTGGGCCACAGTAAGCGCCAGACAAATCATCATTCATCCCAGGAGGCAGCGCGATAGCCAGGGAGAGTCTGCCATCACCTGAGGATCTGGAGAACATCCATCCCGTGGGGTAGGCAGCCAGTGTAACACTACAGTGAAGTAGTGTGGTTATGAAAAAAGCCCACGTGAGATCGCATCACAGCCTGGGACCCCTTGATGTTCAAAGTCAAGTGCCCCAGCTGCTTCCCTCTGTGGTCAATTCTCTGGCTTCTGACATTAACGCAGAGGCATATCAGCCAAGACAGAACCACTGGAAATCATCTGACTAGAGAAAGTCTCTTCAGAAATGCTGCCTTTTCTTTTTTTTTTTTTGGAAAAACAGGAGGTTTCTCCTTTTCCTGATATGAATCAGTGTTGCTCTAATCAAAGGGAATTTTTTTTCCCCCAGAATTTAAATTCCACATGCAGCTCAATAGCTTAAAAAAAGACACTTCTTTTTCTTGAACCTTTGAAAGGTGCAGGAGATAGCAGGGAAGCGGTGGAGAAAGCTGTGAGTTTGGGCATGCTAAAATGAAACTGTAATTTTTTTTTTCCTTAAAAAAAACATCTGAGGGTTTCTAACCACACGCAGAGCCTCTTACTCTTCCATCTCTCGGCCTCAAGGCCTAGTCGGCGTCATGGTGCACAGTCACTATGAACGTGTTTACTAAGCCTCTACACCTCTCTGCCTACAGAAATCCTGCACACAGCTTCCTTCAGCCCTCTTCTGCATGTTTCAATAAATGGAAAATTTCAGGGTTTCCTTGAGAACGCTTGCTTAAGACTCTTTGGAGAGATGGGGAAAGAGTGCCAGATTATAAAAACACAGGCACCAAAAAAGAGCGACAGCTTGGCAGTGGGACTTTGAAAGACTGGCCACTAAGCAGCCGATCCCAACCAGGGCACGGCCTGTGGGTCTGTGCGCTGAGCACATACAGGAGCACCTCAGCATGCTCTCTGTAGGCTGCGCTGGACTCCCTTCTCTGAAATCTAAATAAAGGCACAAGGGCCTTTGGGCACACTCTGGGGCTTGGAGTGCAAGTGCGAACAGTCAACACTCTCAGCTGCTAACTGAAAGGTTGGAGCATTGAGTCCCCCCAGAGGCACCTCAGAAGAAAGGCCTGGCGATCTATTTCCAAAAACACCAGCCATTGAAAACCCTATGGAGCACAGTTCTACTCTGACACACGTGGGGGTGTCATGAGTCACAGCTGACTGGTTGGCAACTGGTTTACTGGTCACGCAGACCCAATGCCCTGTTCAAGCTCCTGTGCCCGGTGGGGTGTGCTCAGGAGCGCAGACCTGGACCTGAAGGTCTTTGGCAGGGGAGGCAAAGGGGGATGTCTCCAACTAGGTCTCTAGAAAAGCCCTTTGTCCTGCTGGGCAGACTTCTCCTTCAGAACCCCAGATCAGACACCGACAAACATACTCACCTCGACTTTGGAGGCGGGGGCGGAGGTGAAAATGCCTCAATCCCACTTCTGTCCTTGGGGAACTCAAAGGCAAAAGAGGCCGATTTGCTCATGCCGGAGCCAGCCTTGCTGCTCTGGCCGGAGGAGCCGTCTGTTGGGCGGAGGCGGTGCCAGGTGGAGGAGTGGGAGGCGTCCGCGTTGCCGTTTTCCATTTCTCTGCCCCAGCCTTGGCCCAGCAATTCCTGTTCCACCTCCTCCTCTTCCTCTATGCGGCACTGACGGCTCCAGGCGCCAGTCTGGTACCTGGGCCGCCTCTGGTCCGAGGCTGTGGCCGAGGTGGAGGTGGAGGTGGAGGTGGAGGTGGAGGTGGGGGGCGGGCACCTGACAGCGTCGCTGGCGGTGACACCGTTTGTCTGGCAGGAAGAAGCGGGGTCGGTGGGGCCTCGGGATGAAGGCTGGGGCCCAGTGCCACTGCCGGAGCTGCCCTCACCGAAGTCGGCCAGCGGGGAGGCGGATGGCGACACAGGGGACCCACCAGGGCTACTCTTGGACAGCTTGGGGGGGATGGCGGGCCTCCCCTTGGGCGCATTCTCCCCCATGTTGTGACGATGGCTCTCCCTGGAGCTCAGGCCCTGCCCAGCTGACACCTCCTCTTCACCTGCCTCAGAGTCCTGGCTCACGGGCCTGCGGGGCCACTGCAGGCCCACTGCGGAGTCGGGGCTGCTCAGGTAGATTGTCCGGTGGTCCTCTTCCGGGTGGGCCGCCATGACGGTGATGGTGGCCGCCACCTGGGTGGCCACATCTGGGCCTTCCCTGTCCCGGGCCCAGGCACACGCCGTTTTCTGAGCCCAAGCGTTACCTGTCCGTAGCTGGCCCTGGCCCTGAGCAGGCGCTGCCTGCTCCACCTTGGCCTGTGGTCTGGAGGGTGCCCGGCTGGCCTTCTTCCTCTTGGTGCTCTCAGCATAGATGGGTTCCGGCTGCACAGCCTCCCTGCAGGGGCCCGGGGGCTGCAGCTCCCCAGGCAGCCCGAGGCACCTGCTGGAGTTCACCCCGTGGCAGCCTGCTTCCGGCGGCTTCTCCGGCTCAGGCTCCTTTATGAGCGAGCAGTAATCGCTCTCGAGGTGGGGGGCAAAGGGGCTGCTGGTGCCACTGCTGTGGCTTCCACAGGAGATACCATCCGAGGAGCTGGCGGCCTCTGAGGTAAGGGATGGCTTCTTGGGTCCCAGGTGGGATGGAGGCTCTGCTGGCTTCTGAGCACAGCACTCCCTCAGGAAGCCGGACACCCGCTTGTTCTCCTCAGTGGGCCCCGCACACACTGTCTGGTCCCAGCAGGCCGGCAAGCAGTCCCCTCCACCATATCTGCGTCTGGAGCCCTCAGCTTGCGAGGCGTCCTTGGCAACCGGGCTCCCAGAGCAGCAGTCCAGGATGGAGCAGTACTCGCCCCCTTCGCTGTCCCCCGACGGCGAGCACCTTTGATCGCTGTCGTCTTCTGAGGGCGGGGATTCCCTCAGGGGCTGCGAGGAGGAGCAGGGCCCAGGGTCCTTGGCACAGCCAGATGCCATCCCCGCAAAGGCGGCCAGTTTCTGGCGGAAGCTCTCCTGAGTCGAGGTCAACTCTTGGTAGGGAAATGTAGGTTTACCCTCTCGCCCACTCTTGTCGTTGGGAAAACTGACGGAGTGGAAGGCCACGTTCCTTTCCCCCCGGGTCTCTAGGCTGTGCAGGCCCACCATGGCATATGCAGGGGGGCACCGAGAGCTGCCATCTGTGGAGACAGAGGGACCACCAGGCTTCTGGGCACCACGGAAGCTGCTCAGGTAAGCTCTGGGTACATCGTCCTGCTTTGGGACGGGGAGCTTGCTGGGCGACCGTCTCCAGATGAGCTAAAGGTCCAAGGTGAAAAGACTTAGATGAGATTTTGTTAGAGACAAAAGGGAGAGAGAAGAAGGAAAAAGAGAAGTGCCGTGACATTGCAAACTGATGCCTACGCTGTATGAAGGAAGCCCGCAGCTGGCCGCTCATCAGGGCAAGCTCTCCAGCACGCCCACCTTCTGATCTCCCCACAAGCCTTATCATCCTTGCACGGCACCCACGGAGCCATTCGCCTTCCCAGATACTAAGCTGCACTTCCCACTGGTGGCCAGTCATTCTGTTGGCTTAGGTCTGTGAGACAGGAAAAAGAAAATCTAAAAAAGAACATTTTGCCTTTTCCCTCACAACCGCCATGTGAGATTAAGTTCTCCTTAGGGCTTGGAAAATAGGGTTTGGGGTCCTAATTTTCCTTCTCGTTTGCTCGTTTTGGGATAACTGTGTTGTGACCCTGTTGTGCATTCCTGAAGAAAACCAGAGTCACAGGAATTTATAAAGCAACCAGGGTGGATGATGGGGCAGGGGCAGGAGGGTGAGGGGTGGTTTCTGAGCTGGATCGTGGCTTCCCCTGCTTCTTTCTGGGTTTTGCGTCAAGCAGTGCCAAAGACAGCTCTTCCTCCCAGTCACAGGCAGTGACTTAGCTCAAGCCTGCGTAAGTGGCTGCATTAGTCAAGCTGTGAGAGAGAGATGTGAGCCACTGGTCATTATCATCGCTAAAATCATAGTCCTCCTCTTCCTTCTCTTCCAAAGTGCCCCTTCCACCCCTGCCGACTTTTAAGAAGAAACACTGTGGCCATGGAGTCGATTCTGACTCTTAGTAACCCTATAGGGAAGAGCAGAACTGCCCCATAGGGTTTCCAAGGCCGTAATCTTTACAGAAGCAGACTGCCACATCTTTCTCCCAGGGTATGGCTGGTGAGTTCAAACCACTGACCTTCGGTTGGCAGCCACTGAGCAACCAGGGCCCCTCAGCTTTTAGAAATGGCTTCAAAATAAGGCCCTGCATCTGGCTCTTTTCCAAGATGATTCTGAACTTAGAGTCCCTGGCTTACATCTGTGAAGGCTGAAGGTAGCCAAAATGGCCGGGTGAGGGGGTGTACCCAGCTTAGGGAAGGGGGGCAGCCATTCTCGGCCTAGTCCTGAAGGGGGCATCTCAGCCACAGGGACTCACTCTCCTCAATTAAGCCTCCACTGATTTGAAACTGACCTTTGTTTTCACACACACACACACACACACACACACCCTTCCTGATCCACTTGCCACATTGTTCAGAACTGGGAACAGGCAAAGAGGTTAAACAGGTAGCAACGGTTCTTAGAACATGTCCTAGACATGCCTAACGGCTGCAGACTCCAGCAACCCGGTTCTGTGGGCTCTCTAGCCTCTAGTCCTGTTCTGTGTGCCTATAGGGATGTAACTGATTTCTAGATCAAAGCTTGTAGAATTCAAGCTTCAAAACTGGAAACCTGAACACTGCTTCGGTACTGAACACTACTAAGGAATTACTCTTAATATCTGTAAGTGTGATAATGGTTTTGTGGTTATATTTTTTCCAGTGTTTATCTTTTAAAGATATGCCCTCAAACGATTCAGTGCTAGCGAATTGCTTTAAAATCATAGGGAAGGGGGAGTGGGTGGTGGGTAGTGAAGAAACAAGATTGTTCATGAGTTGATAAATGCTGAGTGATGGGTGTACAGGGTTCATTATGCCATTATTGCTGCTTGTACCTATTCTTAAAATGATCAATTAATAAGTTTAAAAAATACACCAGTGTCCATTGCAGCACTGTTCAGAACAGCTAAAAAGTGGAAACCCCTAAATGTCCATCAACAGATGATAAACAAATTGTTGTACATACATATAATGGAATTTTTCTCCCCAATAAAGAGAAGTGAAGTCTTGGTACAAGCTCCAACTTGGACGGATCTTGAAAACATTCTATGGAGTAAAATGAGTCAGTCACAAAAGAATGAATGCTGTATGATCCCACTTACACGAAGTAGGCAAATGTATGGGGACCAAAGTGGTTTCCAGGGGTGCAACGGAGGGGGAAGGAGGGAGTCTTTGCTTAAGGGGCACTCAGTTTCTGTTAACAGTGGTAGAATAATTTAGAAAAGGATAGTGGTGATGGGTGCTCAACAAGATGAACATAATCATATGTCACTGAATTGTACGTGTAAAAAATGTCGAACTGGCAAATGTTTTGTTTTATATATATATATTTTTTTTTACCACGATAAAGCAATTTAAAAAAAGCTTAATTTTTTTTTAAAGCTCCCTTTTGGTCTGCCATTACACAATCTCCAGATAGCAGGATGACATTCTGAGGGGCTGGATTAATGCCTTCTAGCCCCAAGGGGCAGAGAGAGAAAGGAGAGCAGCCGACCCCCAAAATACCAGCAGCCAGGGAAGAGCAATCGTGGGGCAAGCCGAGGGGAAGCCAGTCGGCAGGATTCCTGCTCCAACAGTCCCCCCTGGCTGCTAGCCAGTCACCAGGTGTTACAACAGGAGCAGGGCCTGTAAAAAAAACCACAGGGGTTAGTCAGCCTCACCTGCGAGACTTCCGCGCTCATGCCAGCCTCGGTCCACATGTCAGAGGCATCAGAGCTCATCATGGTGGGCTTCACTGCGATGGTGGGCTTGGAGTAGGGCAAGCTGTTCACACCCTCATCTTCTAGGCGACAGTTCTCAGGCCTGGGGGGCAGGCGGGGCGGAGGGGGCAGGCTGTCTGCTCTGGGCTGGGGACGGCCGGCCACCAGCTGGTGGTCACTCCGCAGGCAGAAACAGTTCTTGCAAGACCCGGGCTTCCAGATGTGCTCCACAAAGTCACTGCAGGCAGACATTTTCGGGACCTCAGGGTTCAGTCCGATGGTCTGGTGCATCTTGAGTGGGCAGTGTGGCTCATCTTGCGTCCGGCTCTCTGGCGTGATCTTGGCAGATGCTGGTCACAGAGTGGCTTCCTGGAAAGACAGAACGCTTGCCTGTGAGACACCCCCACTGCCAGAGGGTGGGTGCATTATCAGTGAGAGAGGAAGGAAAGAGAAAAATGGTAAAGATGATTATTCCATCTCTTCTGATCCCCGCCCCCGTTTTTCACAAGGTTCTTAGGCGCTGCCCAGCGGTGTGGCCTTGTCACAAGCTGTAAATACTAAACACAGCTGTGTTCCACGAGTACATGAAAGACACTCAACCCCCTAAAATCTGGAACACAGGGAGATGAGAAGCCTGCACCATATGCATGTACTCCCGGCTGCTGAGGACACCGGGCAGGGACACTGCCCCAGAGAAAGAACCGCAAAGTGGAGAAGCAAGCAAAAATGGTGGCTTCCAAAGGCGAATCCACAGTTGCTGACTGAGAACATACGAGAGGCGAGCCAGGCTCAGGCCTTGAAATCAGCATTGTAATCTCTACTTCTGACCAGGAACAGGTTGGAATGGGGTGAGAAAGGGGAGAGGTGTGGTGTTGGCCTGCCCCTCAGGGGAATCTTTTCTGGAGGTCTGGCATCTTGGGAATTTGCCCCCCACCCCCTTCCTTAATATAAGTTATTTAACCCCGTGCTTAGTGAGGTCAACAAAGTTCACTCGGCACGCCAAGGGGGCAAACAGAAGAAAAAGAAATGCATGATCACCACACCTCTATGGTCCAAGAGAGACAGAGAGAGAGACAAAGAGAGAGGACAAAACAAACAGTAGCCTTCAAGTGGACTCCTGGCAACCTCATGTGTGCCAGAGTAGAACTGTGCTCCATAAGGTTGTCAACGGCTGATTTTTCAGAAGTAGATTGCCAGGCCTTTCTTCCGAGGTGCTTATGGGTGGACTCAAACCTCTAACCTTTTGGTTACTGCTGAGTGCTGCTAACCCAAGAACAAGAAGAGATTGTCAAATAGTTACTTTCCCTATGATAACTCTGGAGACAAGGCTGTCAGCTTGCTGACAGAGTGAATTGCCTCTGAGGGTAAAAGCGAAACTAGACAACTTGCACCATAACACCTTATAAAATCACCACTGAGCAGGCGCTCAAGCCTGCAGACATTAACCAATTAACCTGAATAACACACCGTCAGGTAGCTGTTATCCCCATCCTACAGGTGGGGAAAAATGACAAAGGCGCTAATTAAGGCCTGTCAGAAGGGTTTGGTTGTTTTGGTTTTATAGATAAAGAGAAGGAGCCCAGCAATGGTTAAGCGCTGGGCTGCTAACCCAAAGGCTGGTGGCGGTTCAAACCCACCCAGCGGCTCCACAGCAGAAAGACCAGGCAACCTGATCCTGTAAAGATTCCAGCCAAGAAAACCCTATGGGGCAGTTCTACTCTGTCACATGGGGTCGCTATGAGTTGCAATCGACATGACAGCACCCAACAACATAGACACAAAGAGTTTGCTGTTTCTGGAGAGAGAAGCGACTTTGTTGGCAGCCCCCACCTCACCACGGTTCATTATACAGAGTAGCTGTTTGCTGCTCCTTGCTCTTCTTCCCCTATTCAAATGAACTGCCTTCCGGTAAAGACAGTGTTCATCAGAAAATTTTCCTAAGACTCTAAGAAGACCCAATCCTCATTAAACAGGGAGAGTTTTGCCCCAGGGTTTTCTCTCCAGTTTCCTCCCGTGAGAATTTGAGGGTGATGCTCTCTAAACCATCAGCAGGACTAACTAGATGGGATGAGCCAGAGGCCCCAAAGATCATTCCAGATCTCTGTGGAAAACGCTCTCGTCCCTGTCTCCACACTGACGGACAGAGGTGCTTAGTCACCAAATGCTGAAGCTAGATCTACCTCTTTTCTCTCCAAAGTTAACAACGAGGCCCACTGCATCTTTAAGCCAAATGAACACTATGAAACCAGGAGGCCATTGTTCATGCCACCCAGGTCCCTGGGTAGCCCACCCCGTGGCACAGCGAAAGAAAGGCCTGGTGATCTGCTTCCACAAAGATTTGTTGTTGTTGTTGTTAGATGCCATCGAGTCAGTTCCAGCTTATACAGCGACCCCATGTACAACAGAATGAAACACTGCCCGGTCCTGCACCATCAGCACAATCGTTGCTACGTTTGAGCCCGCTGTTGCAGCCGCTGTGTCAGTCCATCTCGCTGAGGGTCTTCAGTCGATAAAGATTCCAGCCAAGAAAGCCCTGTGGAGCAGTTCTGCTCTGTAATACGTGGGGTTGCCATGAGTCGGAACCAACCTGGCAACAGGCTGTCTTTATTTGTACCACGGCAATCATTGCTAGCGTCTCTTAGATCCCTCTCTTAGGGACAATTGCTGGTTGGGTGAATCTCCTTCTCCCCCAGATACGTATGAGTAACAGATTCATTTCTTGCCAGGTTCCCCCAAGGAGGACACTAGGCGTCAACAAGCAGACAGGGCATGGTGAGGGTTTTTCTTTCTCTGACAATCAGCCCACAGAGAGCTTTAGCCCCGCTGCCAAATTTTGGAAGAGAGAAAAAAGTGGAGAAAGTATTTTGGTCTTCAACAGGGCAAGTCTCCACACCCCTGGCCCAGGACAGGAAGTAGGTCCTTTCCTGTACAGCAGATCCGTGGAAGGCCACAGAAAAGACACTCAGGCAGAAGTTCCCATGCCCCTTAGGTGGGATGGAGGAAGACAGCTTGGAAGACAGCTCTGCGCAGCCTTGTAAGTTCCTGCCGGCAGCTCCTAAGGCTGGGCTATCCGAGGAGATGGGTGCCCAGCCACTTCCTCAGGGGCCACCAGGGAGTCTCAGAGAAGCAGTTCTGAGGTAGCCACATCTCATTTCCTCTTCGACAGGCTGCTGAGAGCACAAATTGTCAGAGGGGGTTTGCTTGGTGCTGGACGCCGCGTTCAAAGGTTCCTCTCCTTTGTAGCTGATGGCTCCCCCTCAGTCCTGGGACTTCTGGCAGGCTCTGGATTAATAATGTGCTGACCTTTCCTTCCGAACTCGTCAGTTTAAGATCAGTTTCTGACTGTGAATACAGCCTTCCCCACACAACTGCCCAGAGGCCCAGAGGTTTTCAAGGGGAAGTTCTTGACTAGGAGAACAGAGTGAAGCCCTGGGCTTCCCAGCACCATGGACTGCTGCTGCCTGTTAAAACTGGCTTCTCACTGTCAGCTGTAGCAAAAAGAATTACCGCCATGTCACGCCAGAAAAGACTCCTTTCCACTTTGGTCAGTCTGAAGAGGTTCTGTGCCTGAAATGATCTCCCATCAGTTTTAAGGAAAAGATGGTGAAAAAGCCAAGTGGCCTCACAGCACAGGAGCGGAGGGCTGCCTGCTAGTTCTCCACAGCCTGGGAAAGGCACCTTCCCAGCCCACATTCCTTACCTCTGAGGGGAGGCCGGCCCTCAGAATTACGCAAATTCCCCCATTGCAGTGGGAGGCTGCATGTAAGATTAGACAACTATCTCAGCATTCTTTTTGATCTGATCCATGATAAAATATCTTTGCCTCTGCAAATTCTGCACTAGATTTTTGGATACAATTTGCAAGGCTGAAGCTGTCAGGTACACTCTCCTTCCAGCCTATTTCAAAAAGAATGTAAAGAATCAGGATGACCAGATCTATAAAACTAAATATTATGGCTCCACATGTCCCCTCGTGATTGCATCAAAGTTGCTTGTACCTCACTCTGAAGTAACACAATTCCAGAAAACAAACACTCGTCGAAAAAGATTTATACATTACGATTAAATTAATGGAACACTGGAAAAAGGAAACATGTATAGAAAGTATTTGCCTGGATTTCAACACGCTCCATTGGCCTGCGGTGCCCAGGCAGAAAGGAGAGAGCGACAACCTTAATATACAAACCACCCCCCAACACACACACGTTAAGTCACTATATTCACACTTTGTTTTCTTTTTTCTTGCTGTGTAAGCTCATCTCAGCAGGAGAAATGTGGGTTTGCATCCACTGCAGTCTAAACCAATAAATTCCAGCGGACCCCAGGATTGTAAAATAACTGTAGAATCCCCCAGGGCTTCCTGTCAAATTTCCTTCCCCAAAAAGGGAAGGGGAGAGGGGTAAGGGGTTATGAACGTCAGTTCAGGCCAGTGATCGATAAAGCCTCTGAACCGGACTCAAGCCCGAATGCGTTGCAAAACCCACCCCTAGACCTTTGGGCTTTGCTATCAGCTCTGCAAAGCCATCTGCTGGCTGAGCTGCACCCGAGAGGAGTAAACACACACGGTGAGCCCGCCCTGCCCATTCACAGGACTCGAAAGTAAAGCTGTTCTATTTTCTCGGAGAGAGAGTGTGTGTGTGTGCGCGCGCATGTGTGTGTGCGCGCGTGTGTGTGTCCGGCGGGGAAAGGGGCAGCACAAGCAGAGGTTAAGAACGTGCTCGTTTTTGGGTGGCTCAGCCCCGCTGGGGAAAGAGCATCACTTCGTTTCCTCTGGAGACCCGAGGCTGGCATCTAACCCGGTGCTGTGTAGGAGGCAGCTACCTTGGGACCCCCAAACCATCAGTCCTGGGGTCTTGGTCTGAGCAGCCCAGGCGGCCTCTCTCTCTGCTCCTTTGACAATCCCGCTGCTATGGAAAGGAAGTCTCCACACCAAGCAATTCCCAGACCGCTTCAGTCCCTGTGCCCCAAACAGAGTAGCAAGACCAGAAAAACCATCCGAACAGTCGGGTCCCCCTCCTGGAACTCGCAGGAAAGTTTCCCCGTTCTAAAAAGCGCGATTCTCGAATGAATCGAAAACACCCCTCCCTCTCCTCTGTCCCACAGGCTCGGCGCCTCCGTCTCGGCTACAACCCCGGGCGCACGCGGTCCCGACGCTCCACCTCCCCAAACGGCCGCTTGTCAACCGGGGGTCGCCGACAGGCGGTCGCCCGCGCGGCGACCGCGGCCGCGGCGCTCCTCCAAAGCTCCCCTCTGCGGCCACGTTTGCCAGACAAAAAAGGCAGAAAGGGAGCCAGCGTGGCGCGCTCACCTCGGGGCTGCGCTCCCGCGGCCTCGCCGTCCGTCTCCCAGCCGCCCGCGGCCCCGCCGGGCGCCCCGGAGCATTGTTTGCAGAGTGTCTGCGCGCGGTGCGTGCCCGGCCGCGGTCGGTGTCGTCT